TATTCTATTCTATTCTATTCTATTCTATTCTATTCTATTCTATTCTATTCTATTCTCAAGTCTCAAGATTGCTGTATTTGGCTCACTGTGTCCTACTTCCAACCATAGATTCCATCTCAGCAAGTCTCCTGTGTCCCCCATGCACATATCTTTAATTTCTTACTTGTTTATTGGATTCCTGGTCTAAACCCAAGTCCAGACTGTTCTCTATAATTTCAGTTGAGATGCTGGCAAAATCATTTCTCTCTCTCTCTCAGCAGAGAAAAATCATACATGACCTCTAAGGTCCCTCCTTAGCCCAAAACAATTGTGGACAACATCTAAAGGTTCCGTTGTTATATTTACATTGTAGAGAGAAAAAGTGCTTTTTTTGATAGGTGGTCATCTAGACTTTTCTGAGATGCTTCCAGGGAGAGAAATCACCACCTTCTGAGGTGTGAAATAGTTCCCGTGCTTCCAAATCTGTCCTAGTGGTTACACCTCCCTCTCCCTTGAAATGTCCACCCCTTGCTCTTAATCCTGCAAGGCTGGTCTGTCAGATATTGGGCAGCTATCCTATCAGCCCTGGAAACCATTATTTTACTTGGAAGCTTCGAGGCTGCCACATTTAGTGTTTGGGAATTTGGGAGGGGGGAATTTCATAGTGAGGTAGAAGATTAGACACAACAACATTCTTTCTCAAGAGTCAAGGACATGTCACCCTTCACCTGGAGAGGAGTGTCTGGCAGGATGTCTCCAGTTAGGATGAATATTTGATTGGGCCTGGTGGGTGCAGGGAATGGATCTTTGCTTTCCCTTTTGGGAAGGGAAAACCCGGCACTCTCAGATTTGGGTTTTACCAGATGTGACAATATGACAACTCTAATAAAATGGAACTTTGAGAAATTGTTTTCTCAGAGTTTATTGGTTTGGAGTTGGTTAGTTGGAACACTGACATATCCCATATCTCCATCTTCCTCTCTATTTCAGAAGAAAGAGAAGTCATTTTCAAATCCCCCCTATGAAATTTAGTTTCCACAATTACTCTTATCATTTAATGATCAGACATGGAATGTGTGTGGAGGAAATCCACTCTGCCACTTCAGTTAAGAGGACAGGAGAGCAAGTGGCTGTCTCCTTCACATTTCAGAAGGGACCTCAACATTTAGAAGACTACACAGGGGCTGTATTGCCCCCTCCCAAACTTTTCCTCCCAAGAACAATTGATCTTGAAAAACCTGATTTAGGAGGGACCTTGAAAAGGTACACAGAGATGTAGCTTTTGTGGCTTTGTTGCCATGTCAAGAAGAGCTATGTTTTTTCCAGAGTTCTCTCTGGAGCCTGGCCAGCCTTGCTTCACAAATTCCACCCCTGACACAAGAAGACAGCAATGGATGAAAGATGACAATGAAACTGGAGTTGCCTGGAAGCCTGGATGTTAGCAAAGACCAGCAGAAAAGCAGTTTCACAGTACCTGGTGTGACTTACCAATGAAACTTTATAGAGGGGCTCCTGCTGAAATCGTATGGGAGGAAGGTTGCTTTCATCACACCGATGATCCCACCCAGAAGAAGGTCTCCTGGCTTGTAATAATTCAGTGGGTCAACTTCATTCCTCTTCAGATTCAGAGGGCATTTCAAAGTGACTGTCCTATCAGCAGCATGAGGAAGCAGCATGAGAAGGAGAAGCAGGAGGATCATTTGTCTGCCTTAGTCAACACTCTGCCTTGCA